GAGTACGCCCAATGTACTAGAGATGTACACCTTGCATACTCAACCACAAAGCATGATGTACAACAACCTGATGCACAATCCTCGCATTACGCTAAGTGTACCTCCTCGTACATCTAACGTACTAGTCAAGAGTCCAAAACCCATATTTTTCTCTTAATGGGTTAAGTCAAGATGTCCAAAACATAGATGTGGTCCCTATCCAAGGTCCTAACCAATAAAGTTTCCAACTTTACTAAAAAGCACGACTTAATGGGAGTCAACACTTAAAGAAAGAACTAAATAAGAGTTTAATACATGCATGGACCAAAGTATTTCATAAAGTTTCCATTTTTATGAACAAAGGACCTTATTGAAGCTTAGATCTAACATCTACTACTTCTAGAGTAGATTAAAAGCTCACATCAAGGGACTTAACAATGCAAAAAAAAAAAAAAAAAAAAAACTCGATAAATCAGATCAAACCACAAAGATCATCAACATCAAAGCTTTTTACATTTGGAGGCTTGCAAATGGAATGATACTCCTGGATCTAGAAGCTCAAGCCACACCTCCAAATGATTCTCTTATTCTTCTTCTTCTCAAGACACCCATCAAGCACATGCCAAGCTCAAAATCACCAAATTGCACATAGGGTTCGGTTCTAGGGTTAAAAATGGGTGGAGGTTGAAGGTATTAAGGTTTAGTGAAAAGAAAACAAGCTTAAATATGGTCCAAAGCCCTAAAATAGGGTTTTTATGAACTTGGAGAATGTCCCACGTACTCCCAGTATGCTTAGCGTACTCCTCTCGATGATTGCGGTTCATTTCCTCCATACTCCCATCGTATACCGAGGTACGCCCAACGTACTTACCTTTTGCATTAGTACACCCCACATACTCCCTATGTACGTCCAGTGTACTAGGGTTTTGACTTAAACCTTGCAACCTTCTGAAGTACATAACTCCTTCGTTATAAACCCGATTCTTACGATCCTTATATCCACGAAGAGGTTATGAGATGCTCTACCCTTTATCAACTTATACTTTATTTAAGATTTCCCGAACAAAAATCCAATTTCCAAAAAGGACTAAGCTGACACTTTACCAAAATCCCCCTTGGCTCCGAAACACAAACTGAAAACTCGGATCATCTAAATTACGTCCCCACACCTAAATGGGAAACGATTCCAGACAGGGTGTTACAATACATACTATTCCACTGCCTTCATAAGAAAATACTTTTTTTTAGAACAGGCGGATATTTATAAACCCAACACCTTTAAAGGAAACGTGGGGAAAAAGAAACAAAAAGGAACAAAGAGTTACAAAACATTAAGCAGAGAACAACACCTACCCACCCAATTATAATTGACAAAATTACCCTTAGAGTTGACCCACCCGAACACCATAGAAAAAAATGTTATCTGCAAGCATGTTGGCTGAGATTGAGACGTTCTTGAAAAAAAATTCATTTCTCACTTTCCAAATGTTCCCTATAAAACAGTAAATTATAGACAAAAGAATGTGACGTTCTTTTGGAACACCGGCCCCAATTAGCCGCAAAATCAACAATCTCCCCGACCCTGTAAATTAAGTAAAACTTATGTTGCACCCCCTGAACAGCCAAGAAAAAACCTCTTTAGCAAATTTACAACCCAAAAACAGATGTTCGGCTTTAACATTGTCGATAAAACAAAACTGACAGAAGTTAAAATTGACTGAAATTCCCCTCCGAGAAAGCTCCACCGTTGTAGGTATACAACTGATACAAACCCGCCAAATAAAACACATGACCTTGAGAGGTACAAGATGAGTCCAAATTGTAGCATTAGTCAAGTCATAGATCAATTTAGAATCAAGGAGGGCGTAAAGATGTTTGACATAAAAAATACCATCGCAAAACAACCTGGAGGACCAACAATCCCTTTGATCCGAAGGTGAGAAACCCAAAACCAGAACTTCGAGCTCAGCTAACTCCGTGAGCTCCTACACGCTGCTCGACTTCCTTTTTCGGTCCCAAAATAACCCCGTCTCACTCCGCTGCTCCGAGAGAAAACAAATTTTTTGTTTGTCAAGCTGGAATAACAACGGGAAACGATCATTGAGGGCACCAGTATCCACCCAATTATCCATCCAGAACAAAGTGTTTTTACCATTGCCCACACGGATTTGAAAACCAAATCAAAACTAATACCAACCTCATCCAAAAAAATCAAGGTTTTAACATTGTTAAACCAAACCCCGGGGATGGTTTTTTGGCTAATGTAGAAACCGACTTCCTTTCAAGATAATGGACCCTAATGATGACTTTTCTACACAATGAGTTTGGCTCCCTTTTTAACCTCCAAATCCATTAGGATAGAAGGGAATGATTCAGAGACGTCAAAGAACCAACGCCTAGGCCACCTCTCTCTTTGCTAGCCAAAACCACTTTCCAAGCTACCCAACAAAGTTTATTTTTGTTTACACTACCTCCCCAAAGAAATCGCCTTCTAAATTTCTCTAACACATTAACCACCGAAGAATGAGCTCTAAAAAGGGAAAAATAGTAGAGCGATAGGATGCCGAGCACTGATTTAACCAACGTAAGCAGACCCCCGAACAATAGGGACCTAGCTTTCCAAGAAGAAAGCTTTTTATTCACCCTTTCCACAACCGCACCCAAATTTTGTTTATGCGACATGTTAGCACCAACTGGAACCCCCAAATAAGTAAACGGAAATGAGGCAGCATCAAACACCAAGGTACGAGCACAATTGGAAACTTTATCATTAGAAACTCCAATGCCATACACCTTGGATTTATGAAAAAATCACTTTAAGTCCTGAAGCCACGTGAAAGCACTTAAGAATTCAGGAAAGGTTGGTAAAATTTGAGCTAGACCACTCTACCAATAAAAAGATCGTCATCGGCGTAAAAAGAGGTGGGAGAGATTAGGGCCCTAATTAGGCAATTTTATCCCACTAAAAATACATGAGTGAGCCGTAGACTTTATAGCCACGTGAAGTCCTTCCATGGCGATGATGAAGAGAAATCGGGAGAGAGGGTCCCCTTGGCGCACCCCACACGTAAATTGAAATTATTTCGTAGTCGAGCCGTTAAGAAGAACTGAGGCCCTAGCCGAGGAAAGACAACCACGAATCTAAAATCTCCATTTTTTTTCCTGAAACCCATTTGCATCATGACCGAATCCAAATAATTCCAACTTATGGAATCGAAAGCCTTATCAAAATAAAATTTGAGGAGAAAGAGCTTGTGTTTGGATTTCTTGGCCCATGTAAAAACCTCATTAACAACTAGAGGACCATCAAGAATGTTCCGACCCACAATGAAAGTAGTTTGGACTTCATTAATTACCGAACCCATCACCCTTTTAAGCCTTGAAGCAAGAGTCTTCGCGATGATCTTGTAAACACACCTAATAAGACTTATAGGTCAGAACCCATTTAACGAAAAAGTGTCTTTCACCTTGGGCAAGAGAGAAATAAAGGACGAATTACTACCTCTAGAAAAACCTCCATAGCCTCGAAATGCCTCACGAAACGCATAATGTCTCCTAGCATTAAATCTCAGAAATGTTTAATAAATTTAAACATGAAACCATCTAGTCCTGGAGCTTTATCATTCCTACAATTCCAAACTGCATCCTTTATTTCTTCGACACTAAAAGGCATCTCCAAAAACTCCTGATCCCTTCTAAAAGAAAGACTTGAAATTTTGATTAATCAATGGGGGCGGTCGTGACAAGTTTCAAAAAATTTAGCACTAAAGACGCTCTAGGTTTCCTGCTTTATCGTGTTGCAATCCGTAATCCACAAGCCGTTGACCATCATCCCATGAATATTTTTTTTTCTATTTTTGGCTTTCAAGGATTTGTGAAAGAAAGATGTTTTTCATCCCCACCAGCTAACCATTTAATTTTGTTTTCTGCTCAAGATCTAATCTCTCCATCTTCTCAAGTTCAATTATTTTTGTTTATAATTACTTCAGGTCTCAATTTCACAATCAGAAAGGAGTCTACTTTCTGGAAGTATCTCAATGTCATTCACTTTAGTTCTAAGCCTAACCAAATCTTTGTATTCTTTGTCAAACTCCACCTGTTTCCAGACCTTGATGGCCTCCTTAACAAATTTAAGTTTATCCGACAAATACCGATCTGGGGCCCAACTACCATCAAAAGTATTCTAAGCCTTAATTATAACCACCTCAAACCTATCTCGCAAGAGCCATGAGTTAAAGAAATGTAGAGCAGGTTTCCCAAAATCCAAAAAACTCATTCTCAAACGAATCGATGAGTGGCCGGAATATTCCCAAGGTAAGGCCGTGACAGAAGCGGAGGGAAAAGCAGATAAAAAATTTTAGGACAAATTAAGAAACAATCAAGCTTACTCAACTCGTAGCCCACCTCACTAAAATAAGTGTATCTTCTCCCTCTTATGTTCAGATGTAGAATCCCATCTCCTGAGATGAAACTGTTAAATGCCTTTGCAGTTTTAGGAAAGAAAATAGAATTGACCCGTTCCTCTGCTCTCCTCACGGCATTAAAATCTCCAAAAAAAACCCAATTACCAGGCCTAGACCACATCAAGTTCTGTAATTCTTCCATAACTGTTTCTTTTCTCTGAGGCGCGTAGACATTAACAAGGATAGTTTTCCTAATAGTTCCATTTCGATAACCCACCATTACCATGTAATATCTATTCTTTATAATAGAGATAACCTAGAAAATTACCTTGTCCTAAAAACACATCAAACCACAAGAAAGCCTATTTGATTCAATGAAATCAATGCCCACATTGCATGAGCCCCATCACCTATCGATTTCGACCGGGAGAGAAGAGACCTAGGTCTCTTGTAACCTACAAATGGAGAAAATGAGTTCTCTTCTAAGCCTAGCCAACCACTCAATTTTGTGTGAATTTCACACACCCCTAATGTTTAGTGAAAGGGCATTCATTGGATACCTGGTTTAACACCTCCACCACAGAGAGCCTCCTTAAGCATCAGATTCCCACGAGTAATCTAGAATCCTACTTGTTTCCCCACCTCGATTATTTGATCCACCTCCATAGAAGAAGAATAAAGAGAAGGTGGATTAGGGTTACCCGTAAAACTGACACCAACACCATTATTATGCACAAAATTGCTTGGAGATTGAGGAGTTCTTCTGTTAAGATAAAGCGAGTTATCATGAGGAGAGATCCTGGAAACTCTAAGTCGAACTCCTGAGTCAAAGGAAGAAAACAGAGCTTTTAATATGGTTCTCCTTCTTTTGAGCCCAGAACCCCCGATTTTAAAATCTAGACTGACCGCTTCACCATTACGCCTAGGAGTGTGAGGGAGCCCAACATATTTGGCCCAATTTGTATCGGTTGACCCACCTTTCTTGCCTAGATCCGAACCACAAGAGGAGTTAATTCTCCCATTAATTTCCATGGCAGTCTCGGGAACCATGTCATCATGAGGCAATTCCCCATCGAACCCATGCACCTCTTCATTTCCTTCATGCACATCCACGCACAACTCTTCGACTACCCCCTCCTTGTCAACCACTAGAAATTTGTTCGCCACCCCCCCACCGCTACCCAACCCTGGGACGAATTCACCTTTCTCTAGGATGACCTTATCAGTCGATACAAAAAATTCATCACCATCATTAGATTCCTCCTCAGACTCGTCAGAAGATGAATGGGAGAAGGGTCAAAATGGAAACCAATCATCATCGACCTCAAAACTCCTACGGATTGAATAACCCCCGCAAAATATATCGAAATTTCCTCATTGATCCTTATCAAACTGTGAGTAAGTATACAATGCTTACCACTTGAAACATTGGAACAGTTCCAAAATGGGGCAACATCAACCAGAACGTTTCCAAAACACCCAGCTATGGCTGCGAAGTTAGACTCATCCCAAGCTGAAAGTGGTACCCTGACAATTTTAATCCACACAATTTTGCCAGGACTTGAATGGACCTTCCCAAACAAATCAACCCAAATGAACCACTTTAGACAAATACATTTATTGGCCTTGAAAACCTCCGCTAACCTTTCAGACCTGAATTTGATAGCGACTTGCATTCCCCCTATAAATTTTGCCTCCAAAACATCATACCCTTCAAGGTCCAACAAAGTAGGGTAGTTACAAGTTAATTCGTAATTCCTAACTTCTCCCACCAAAACCGATTTTTCAGCCCATTTGAGAACTTCCGAAATCCCCTCCAAACTAGCTGCAACCACCTTAGCCACTTCCTTCGTTCCTTTTGTAACTTCAGCAAAAGATCTTGTTCCTCTAGGGGCTGGTTTGAACACCCTAGGAGCAATGATTGACTGAGAATCGCCTGGACGTGACAGGATATACAAGCTTGGGATGAATCGCACAGTTAGCAGCCTACTTCCTACCTCAACAAGTAATTTCATTGAGTCCCTTAACAATGTTGTCGATATTCTTCTTATCTTTTACATTGGCGAATTTGACAAAAGCAAAGAAGGAACCCAAAGAGTCCTTCCTCACCGCAATGCAGATATTTGAAAGATTTCCCAAACGAAGCATAAGATTTCCAAATATCCTTTTTGAATGCATCACCTGGAAGGTTAAAGACATAGAAGGAGGTAAGACTATCTACGTTCGCCGCCTTGAAAGTTGCCTGAAACATCCCAAAAATACAACCCAAAAATTTCATTTTTTTAATCCAATAGTAAAACTATAAATACCCTCATCATATAAAAGTCATAAGTCATGTATCAAAGTCACATGTCAAAATATATCAGAGTATAAACATCTCAGGCTAAACACATGGTATGTGTACTGCAATCATCCGGAGCTCCTTTTTTGAAAACTGAAGTACCTGAAACCAAAACTGAAAACTGTAACCACGAAGCTTAGTGAGTCTCCCTAAACTAACAAATACCATACACATACATTGAAACTAGGAGATACGGGCCCAGTCCACTCTCATGGAGATTCAGGTCCCACCCATACTCTGCTGTCTAGGAGATTTGGGCCCCGCCCACACTCCGCTGTCTAGGAGATTCGGCCCCTGCCCACACTCTACTGTCTACGAGATTCGGGCCTGCTAGGGGTGTCAAACCCAACAAATAATAGGGTTACGATATACTCCTGAGTAACACTACTCTATTGCACTAAAAAGTAGTACAAGGCAAGTAGGGTCGATCCACAGAGACACGGGACAATCAGTCCATACCCTTTTTGCGTAAGGTACTTGTTCACAAAAGATGAAAGAAAAAGGGGGTTTATTGCAATGATTAGACAAATAAAGTAAAATCACAAGTAATTGGCTGAATGAGTAAATTAAATTCAGATATTATAAAGACTCCAACTTCATGTATGACAATTCAACGATGTGAATCCAAGATGACAAGACTTTTGTTTCATTCTATCTAAATTGGTACTTGAAAGTGTTAACAAGCTCTAACATTTTCCATTCACCACAATAATTAACCAAAACAAGCTCTTTGGTTAATCCTAACCTTACTAACCTAATCTAAACAAGCTCTTAGAATTAGATTGAAAGATTGCAAGAAGCTTTATGTGAATGTTCCTAACAACACCCAATACTCCTCATAAGCTCGGAAGTGTAAAAGTGTATGAATAAGATTTACACTAAATTCATTCGATAGAGATCAATTTAATGCTTGCTACTTGTTCAATTTCACAAAACAATTACGGATTTTGTAAAAGAGATAACTGGAATGACCTAACCCTAATTCAAATGGCCAATAAGAATCACAATTAGAATCAAACATTCGATTGAAGCAAAATCAAATTCATTAGATAGAAATTAAGAACAAACCTCAAGTCATATGATTAGATTCCCAACTAGAAAGTCAAAACATGAGTTGGAGAAATTAGGGTTCTAGCCACACATGAGTAGAACAAAACTAGAAATCTAGAAGATGAAATAAAGAATTAAAATGCTTACAAATATGAAATCAAAATGTTTCCAAATGTTTAACGGAAAATCCTTGCTAAAACATTCAACTCCTTCTCCCCAAAATGCTTTTTCTCCGCTCTGCTTACTCCCAAAATGGCCTAATTCCCGTAATAAGAAAAGTGGAAAAACTACCAAAAAGATAGTTTTAAGTCGAACACGCCCCGTGTCGAAATAGAGCAAATCAACACAGGTCGTGTTGAGTGTATACCAACCCTTCAATTCTCCATTCCAAATTTGAAGTACGATGCTAAAAAATGCCCAGCTAGCCCAACACACCTCGTGTCGATATAGGCTAAATAAACACGGGTCGTGTTCATCGAAGTCAAAAAAATGCTTGATAGTCAAAGACGCCCCGTGTTGGATTCTAAGGAAAACCCAACACGCCCTGTGCTGCCCTCTGGATGCTCGTCCAAACTTGATTTTTCTAATTCTTCCTATTCTCGCCCAATCGTCCGACAATCTTCACCAACGTTTCCTAGCACCTCCAAAAGCGCGCTCCAACCTCCGGTTCACCTGAAAAGGACATGAAAGATTGCAAATAAGGTTGTTCAAGAAATTAACCTAGATATGCTAAAATGCAATAAAAACAACGAAATTATGCTAAGGACATACATAAAAAAAAAAGTGCTAAAAGTGGTGCAAAAAGGTGCACAAAATGCACCTAACAGATCTCCCCAAGCTTAGACCTTTCTTGTCCTCAAGAAAGAACAAGAAAGAAACAAAACAGGACGATTTATGGATGACAAAAAGAAACTTAGAATGAAAAGGGGATGAAGGATCCTAAAGGTTAAGAATGAATGCATGCAATGTAATGCCATGAAAATTTAAGGTATGTACAAAATGCACTTGAGAAACAAAATGAAGAAAAAGAAAAGAAGATTAAGAACAAACACAAAATATGTACTTTTGTAACTAAATAAAGGTACGATCAGACTTTACATCGATAGGGCTCCGATCATTGATACCTTGGCAACCATCCTGTTTCCTTCCACATATCACAGACTCTCAATGTGAGGAAGACCCGAAACGGTGTAACCCAATAATCCAACAAAAGTTTTATTTAATCTTTATACCTTACTAAGCTTTATGGGCAAAAATAACATAGTTCGGATTTCATGTCCTTAAGCCTAGATGGCCAAGAATCAGAATCGATGCATCCTTAAGAACCCGTCACGGCGAATCAGCTTTCGCTGAAACACTGAGCCCACCCGAAGGGGCCTAGCTCCTATGCTTTCACTTTTTCGAGAGCCACAAGTATCATATCACACAGTTCTTCATTCGCCATATTTGACTTGAATTGACTTTTGATTTGATTAAACTTTGATTTGTACTTCGTTTTGAATTTGGATTCTTCAATCTTTATTTTTGGAATTTCTTTGGATTTCTTCGTTTTTGCATTTGAAAATCTGATTAGGGTACTAGATATGACAGTTGTACCCTTCCTTCTTTCTTTACTGTGTGGATCTGATACTTATGCTCTCTGTTACCACGAGGGTAACGTGTGTCAACAAATAGGTCTGTGTTCTGTGGGTTCAGAGTTTCCAATAAAGATTCTTTTTAAACATTCAAAAGCAAATCATCCTAAAGCTGTTATTACCGCCCAAAAAATGTTTCAATATAAATTCTTTTTATTATCTAAGGCTAGGGTCTCGAATTACGATGTTTGGGTCCCCTAGTTATGACAGCTGATTCTACGCTTCCGGTAACTATCCGGTCGCCTCGGAATTCTTTCATTTTATGGAGCAATTGTATGTAAAGAGTGTCATCATCTCGTACACTTTATGTATTTATTTATTTTTATTTTTTTTGAAAAACAAATATAGAGTGCATGGAAAATGAAAATAAGAAATAAAATAGAAAAGAGAAAATAAGAGAGAATAAAATAAAATTTTTGAAAAACTGAAATAAAAATTTTGAAAATAAGAAAATGCATTCATGAGTATGAGTGAACCTAATATACAAGTCTACCCCTCCCCAAGCTTAAATATAAGCATCGTCCCCGATGCTTGGAGAGGGTGGAACAACCTAAAACGGAGGTGGAGGAGGAGGATAGTAGCAGGGGTTTCGGGTCCAAGCCCAGAAGTCCTCCTCATGTTTGTGTTGACGCTCTTGATCCCGAGCGTACTGGGTGGTGAAGGTGGAAAAATTCTGGGTCATGTTGGTAATATCTTGCTGGTAGGTGTCGAGGCGGGTATGGATTGACTGGAATTCATCCATATACTGCTGATGATAAGGCGGGGGTGCAACAAAATGGGATGAGCTGGCACCACCGGTGGGAGAAGCATGGTGGGGCTCCTCCTCCTCTTCATCATCATCACCATCTTCCTCGTTTTCTTCACTTTTCTCATCTACCTCAGTGGAGTATGAGTGGGGGAAGATGTAGGGAATGATTTGCCAATCGGTCATGTGAATGGGATTTCAGAAATCAAGAATGCCTTTATTTTCTGTCGTGATGAGGAGCTTTGGATCATGATTTTAACCCACGGTCCAATGGTGTGTGCCATCGCCTGCCGAACGAAAGAGTCGCATGGACTCAAGGACAGTAGTGGTAAGATAAGGCTCACCCGGCAGTGGCTGATGGGGACCGGGGTATGGGGCTCGGATTTGGGCGCTCTTGGCGAACATGCTGACAATACCCCCTCAAACAATCTTTCCCGATCGGGATGTGCTCAGGTGGATGAGCTTGTGGCACAGAAATCGACCATAACGAGGAATTAGGTTATTCTCGGGATGGGTCATTGCATAGAGGATTTTGAGTTCTAGCGCACTGATGGTGCTTCGCTCCTCTCTAGGGGCGACGAGCGAAGCAATAATTCTATGGGCTACCTTTATCACGGGATGGACAAGTGATGAGGCTTTAGCAGCGCTAGAGACATATGGGTGTAATTGGGTGAGTTGGGTCCACCATGCCATGTCAAAGTATCCTTGAATTGGGTCAGTTGGGCCAAATGTGTTTTCCGTTAAGGCCCCCACAATGGCATTGATTTGATCCAAAGAGATCTCATAGTCTTGATTCATTAGATGGAAGTAGAGGATCCCATGGTCCAAATAAACTGAGGATAGAAACTCAAATGTTGGGACTTTATAGCTCAATTCATGGACCCTCAACAAGCCGTGCCACCCTATGTTGTGCAACAGTGTTTTGACTTGATTGTAAACATGCAACTCTTTTAGGGATGGAACATGCGCGAATTTTTGGATGGCATGACCCCGTTTAAGGAATGACTCAAGTTTGCCCTGTTGAATTGGGCCAAGACATATGATACCACAATGAGACGGGTCGGCTGGGGGTATTGGGGACCTAGGTGGAGGTGATGGGGATCTAGATGGAGGTGATGGCGTCCTAGGCTTTCGACGGCGGGAGGATGATTTGGTTTGTCTTGGTCTTTTGGAAGATGCAGCTTCCATAGTCAAGTTTAGGACAAATTAAAAGTCAATATGTCAAAATGTCAAAAAGTCAACTAT